TCAGACGGCTCCAGAGCTGCTCTGAATACTAACAGGGTGAAACGGGGGGGAGGGAGAAGACAACGTGCTAAGTTCAAATCCACACTCACCATTTCCCCCCCCACCTTATCCCTCAATGTCTTGTAGTAATACAGTAACAAAATACACCATTAATAAAAGATAACAACACAATTGCACAATCTTTTGCCTTGGAATAGTGGTGATCCTATTTGTGAGGTGATAACGCGATATAGGGAGACATGAGGGCTCGTTTAAATCATCCGCGTCAACGTGCGCAGCAAAGATGAGCGTTTCAGACGCGTTGCCAAAGAACGGCATTGGCTTGAAGGGCTAAGTCTGCATCAAAGCATGTAAAACGCAGCATAGTGGTGTGAAAACGCACTCGAGTTGCCGCACATCAATATGCTTTTTTTGGTGTTTAGCGTTGATGTGCATGTAATACTTTATTTTGTTGTCCTTGTCACGTGTCACATCGTGTTGTAATGTATTCACACCACTCCTGTTAGGCTGCAAGGTTTAATGCAGGCCCAACGTCATGACCAGCTGGAATCCATTAAACAGGCCTAGTTCATTGCGTTGATGTGCGATGGATGCAAATAAAACATACTGCATTGAAACATAGCATTGCAAACAACGCTAAGGAAAACACGAAGGGGAATTTATCAAAACTGGAGCCGTTGCCATGGCAACCAATCAGCGTCTATCTTTTATTTTCAAAGCTTAAAAGCACAACAATTAGTTGCCATGGGCAACTGCTTCAGATTCTGTCTGCTCCAGTTGTTTCTTAAAAAATGCCCCCCGTTGTATTTTGGCTTCTGCTGTGGAAAGCAAATGCACAACAACACAATGCATCAAAAAAAGCGCATGCCAAGTGCTTCAACTCAAGTGCATTTAATGAGTGTCAACACGTGCAACGCACGTGGTGTGAATTTCAACCTTGAACGTAGCATATTCCCTTTTCACCCAGCGCCCATCATTGCAGAACACTGGTGTAAACTGGATTTCAGCTTGCTGTTACGTTGAAGAATGCCCAATGTGGTGTGAATAGGCCCTAACTCCGTAGGCTGCAAATATATTGCAGATCTGAGACGGTGCCCGGTGACAGATGTCATCTAGCGCTCATTCATATGGCTGCACTGCAGTGCATTACCTCACGCACCTCAAAGCAGAAAACCGCTGATTTAACGGTTACCTAAAACAGTTGCAACCAACTTTCATCTGAACTTGCAAGTCCACAAATGGCTGACCAAAACGTGCAGAGCCATGGCAACTGCAAACCTAAATAGAGTCCAAGATGGCGTTGTTTCCAGCTGTAAAGGATAGGAAGGTTTAGTTCCGCTTTAACGCATGGTTCACATCCGTGAGATGCGGCCCTCTGAAACGGAAGTGTGGTCTCAGAGTGCTGCCTAGGCGGGGCGTTCAAAATAGAACTACATCGCACTGGGCGTAGCCCTATATTGCATTGTAACGGCAATGCATGGGTCCTTCGGCCTCTTTTACATGGCGTTCCGATCATGTCCGCCTGCCATTTGTTTAGGCAGACCTGATCGGAAGCTCAATGTTAGTGCATGGACTGGCAGATATAAATGGACCTGCACCATTTACATCCGATTACCTCCGAATCCATTTTGTTAGATCCGAACGGGACAGATTCAAGGTAACCGGATGTAAACACCCACATGTACGCTTACATCGACTCCCCTTAGGCCTAACATGGGTCCTGTTAGTTCAGTTTTTACCTCATCGCAAGAACTGAATGGACACAAATGTCATAAAAATGACATTTATTACGTATTGCTCCTATCAGTGGGGGATCTTTTCTCTAATCTGCTGATTGGAATGGACACCGCCTGTGTGAAGGGAGGCTGAATTCACACCTTTCCGTGTGCCTTTTTCAGGCTTGGCCATTGCCATTAATAAGCCCTGAACCAGCAAAAATGCATCAAAATAATGGAAACTGCATGGCAACGCAAAGCACAGATGTAAACAAGGAGTGAATCTGGCCTTAGGCCTGTTATTAGGACTCTGCAATTTGCCTGCAAATAAAACCACTCGCATGCATGCGTCCAGCCACAACTTAGTACATGTGTTTTAATAGCTTTCCACCTCCTAGCCACAGCACCCGGCTACGGATGCTTTCACCGTCAATGGTGGAACTTGAAGCTGCAGGCACAGCTCTCACCAAGACTGGTACATCCAAATAAATGCAAAGCAGATTTAAATCAACATCAGAACGGGCTGCCGCCTTCTCTGTGACAAAATACCGATGCCATGGTCTTTTCCTAATAATGACATTATATATCTAAATATAGATATGACTTTATTTTATATATAGTACAACAATAGGTTGGCCAGTGGGTGCTGCATCTCAATAAATTCATGTAGCTTAAGGTCCCCACACACCTTACGATAATCGTACGATAATCGCGGGAAATCCCGCGATCGTACGATTATCGAAAGGTGTGTGGAAGCCGTGCGACCTCTACTACTGTAAGGTCGCACAACTTTAAACTTACGAACATGTTTGAAAACCCGCCGAGCATCGTGCGCAAGCGCACACTGCCCGTTCGGCATTGCGGTCTTCGGAAGCCTGCCCCTCAGGGGGCGTGGCGTGCGATCATCGCAAGTACGATCTGCCTATGCAAGATAGGCAGATCGTACGTTTATTTAAGTACCTTACAACTATCGCAAGACAAAAGTCTTGCGATGGTTGTAAGGTGTGTGCCCAGCCTCAGGATGGAAAACACCAGACTTTTAATACCCAATGATACGTCTTCTTTCCACATACAAAATGTATTCACAATATATCAAATCTACAGACTCCATCATTCTCATGTCCATTCTATACAACACAATGTGCAATACATAAATAAATAAACTTTGCGTTCAACACCCTCTCCTCTGTGTGTGTTCTTGAATATGATCACAATCCATTTCTTAGAACAATCAAACACAATCCAATCTTTAGTGCAAGTGAATAGAATCTCTGCGGTCATCCTTAGGCAAACGTTATCTTCTTTGTGCAAATGGACCCAAACACTGACAGCTGCCATTTTTAAGTGATTGTGAATTTCGCCACCTCTGTGCTCCCCCTTTCTTTGGGTTGATTATATATTTAACACTCACACACAGGAAAGATTCTTGCACACAAAACGTATATATTTATTTTACATTAAGGTGAATTGATCAAAACCGGGGCAGACAGAATGTGGGGCAGTTGCCTATGGCAACTAGCCAGCTCCTCTCTTTAGTTTTTTCAGTTAAGCTTTGAAAATGAAAGCTAGAAGCTGATTGGTTGCCATGGGCAACTGCTGCAGATACTGCCAGCTCCACCTTTCATAAATCCCCCCCCCCCCATTGTGTTGTAAATAAATGTGTATTTTCTATTTTTTTACATGTTAATAAGGCATATAAACAAGAGCAAACTACTGGCACTCATAGATCGTCCAAGCTTTGCTTCATTCTTAGTGCAGCAATGTATATATAGGCAGCAAGAGCTGATGCGTTTCTGCTTTAAACGGCCGTAGTGATATAGGGAGTTTTAGGAATATAGGGAATAAGATAAGGAGCGCAGGGCTGCATATAGTCATATCTTTTCAAATCAATTCACTGATATTTTGGACAGCAGCTACCTATAGAGAATAGGTATAGCCTAGGGTAGAGCACTGAGTTTGATTAAACATAGGCTGTCATACAAAAACTCCTACATGAATACAAACTGAGTAAAGGTGCGTCACACTCTTATGGCCAAAGTTTTGTAACAAATTAGAATACTCAGGCAGTCAGAGCACCCCTGGTCTAAAATGTATCTAAAGCCAAATCTCCTTTTTTTAATTTTGTATATTGTTTACTTTTTGCAAGATTAAACTCCTGTCTGGTTTTTCTCTTTGCCTGTGTCCCCATTGGGGAGATGTACCCTCCCTATATTATGTCCTGGTAGCCATTATCACTGGGACATAAAGTAACTGGCAATTTAACATTATATATCTGTCACCTGCAACAGGAATGGAAAGGAAATCTTCAAGTAAGACTGCCCATACACCTTGCGATCATCAGGCGAAACCCTTCGTCCGAAGATCGAACCGTCGTACGATTTTCCCCCTTCCTGCCCGATTATCGCAAGGTTGGATCAGCGGTAATTAAAAGAAAGCACCTGGATGAATTGCGGTAATCGACCCCCCTGTCATCGACCCATGACAGGGGGGTCCAACCATTACCTGCTTTATTACCCTACCCAAAACAAATTTTGTTTTTTATTCCCCATTTGCACTTAAATATTTATGTCTTTGGTTGTTTTTTTGTGCTTTTTATTTTAGCCAATGGAATGCTAGTTACTATGAGGAGGGTATTTACAGTTGTTAAGTGTAAAATTACACATTATACAGGGACGCTACGTGCGTTTTTCAGGCGTGCCTATTGAAGTTTATTGGGGCAAAAAAAACATGCGCTTGTGCCCCAAAGAAGCTCATTTTTGAGTGTTGAGTGACAGCACATCACTCAGACGTAAACTGACACAATAGAATAACATGGAAATCTGAGCATCAAAGCGCTTCTGGAAACGTGTTTTAAATCACTCAGGTGTGAAGGGGGTCTTAAGATGGCTGGACAGTGCAGAGAGCGGCAATCCATTAACTAAGGTCTATGAGCAGCTTTGCAGTGAAATACAGTATGCATGCATTCTACAAGGCAATTGGTCGAGCACAACTACAGACCATGCAAGCTGTGAAAGGAAAATGTAAACATAATG